ATATCTTAATCAAAAGCTTTCTTTAAAAAAATCATTCAAATCTAGATAAGTAAATAAAATGTTTATTATTATTCTGTCGAAACCTCTGTAAGACTTTTCAAAGGTATGGATAGAACTTTGAAATTTCTAATAGCTATGTATAATATGTATAAATTGTCCCAGACTATGAGAAGACGTAGGAGGAAAGGATTGTTAATATAAATTCAGTCAAATTATTGGAACTGTATAAGTTTGACCAATACGCAGATTATAGTTGGTAGATTCAGATACAAGGGATGGTATAATCCGGCCACAGTCTGATTATTAATCTGTTATGATATATAAGTGGTACTATATGGTATGGGTTTTTCTCATTGTTGAAGGCCGTACGGTTGCCTATAATTGCTTACACCCACTTCATTTTAACTTTGGTGGCTAGTTGTCTCATTGGCAATCATACCACATCTCCTTATTTTTATATTGTGTTATAGATAATGCATATTCTAAGGTTGTTCTGTCGTATAGCACACCAAGTGGTAACAGGATTGTAAACAATTCAAACGAGAAAACCAACGGCATCATTTATAACGTCTATGAGCGCTCAGTTCTCCTTTAATCGGGGACAGTGGTGTAATACCACATCATAAGAACAAACTGTAAAAAAGCAGCAGGAAATGACTCGATTCAATAGATTGGCACGAAGCACGAAAAACTTATATAAAGACAAAACACACAAAGCATCGATCTAAGAGTACTTGCAGTTGCTGAACGCTATAGTTCAAGTCAATACAACTACTAAAGAAAGTAAATTTAATAGGACAAAAGTATTAATCAGGACACGCCGAACGGATTTTATGTAAAGACGTCATAAACAATCTGAGAAAAGCATGACCTTGTGTAATTTCAAAGTATAAGTACATAGTATCTACAGGATGTAGGATTATAAGTTTTCATAACTGTATATCAAAATTCAAATCAATGTTAGATAAAAACCAATATTCAAAGATTTTCGTATACTGTCCTGACTCGAGATTTGTATTTTTCTAAATGATCAGCATTTGTAGATCACAGTATTTTCATTCTTCAAAAGAATATTCTAAAATTGGAAGAGAATAAATACACACGGTTCAATTTTAACTTTAAAAAAAAAAATTCTCACGAAATCTAGTTGTTTTGAGGATTTTTCTATCATAAAATTGTTATGGACAGTCCTATTACAATCAGAACACATGTAAACGCCAGGAAATATCGTATGAAGAAGATAAATATGTTAGTACCAGGTCAACGAAGATATATATAATAGTTTGATATGGTATGACATGATTTTTCCATTTCTTCAAAGGAACATACCATAATTTAGGAATTTACTCAAAATTTTTAATGGTTTATGTTAGAAGTTTCTTTTATTATTATTCAGTAATGTTATTCATCGAGTTATCTCCGATCGTTCAATATTCACCTGCAATAGGTGAGAAAGTAGAACAAAAATGGGAACCCATTAAACAATTTACTCATACAAAAACTGTAAAAAAAAAATATGTAACACAACTGAATGTACATTACCTTGAGTTATCCTTAATATGAATTTACGAATTGTAACACCACAACTATATGTGAAGCGTGAGAAACGCTATTGTCATTTGAACAATATCATACTTGCCTCGTATATTAACGTCACGTTTATGCGCCATTAATGGTCAACGTCATAACATCTTTCGTTTACAGGGGGAATCATGGCTTTCACGTTTACTTTTCGTGATACACAATTTTGATACAGCAGGTTTTCGTTTTGATTGACAAAACACAGCATTCAAACAAGGTGAGAAAAAAACAGTTATGATGTGATTTTACATAAGTGCAACAATGCATCATAAACCGCGAATGGCGGGTCGGCAGTTGCGTAGCTAGGCAATTTTTAAGTGTACGCCCGATCCTCGGCGAGGGATCTGAGAGCCCCGAGTGGGTCAAGGTCAAAACACCTCCTGGTAGTGGGTTCAAGGGGGCGAAGCCCACGGAAGCTGACGAGTTATCGAGAATTAGATACCATATCTGTTATTACAAACTAATCAATAGCAAGTCTAATTTTTTTTTTAAGTTTAATTTATTCACTGTGTTGATTTGGATTCTAATTGTCATTGGTTTAAGAGAAAAATATCCAAACCAATTATTATAAAATGTGTTTAAAAGAAGCCGTGGGGTAAAGCAATCAATCGACAAAAAATCCGAAACTTTAGAAATAGTAAAAAATCAAGTCTACATCTAAATGTTGTCGTTCTACTAATTATTTTGACATCATCTAGTTTTCACCCCTTTTTTATATGTGCAAATTTCGTTAATGGACATGCAATAAATAATTTTCATAGATGTTCAGGTGTAATATGAAAATACATAACGGGTTCCGTGGAACCCTAGGTTTCGGCAGGGATTGCTTCTGTCAGTAATAAAGTGTAATGTTGACTGCAAAAAGTGAATCCATTCATCAGTCAAGTACAGGATTTAAAAAAAATCAAACACTTTCTTTAGATTTGTTCTTGATCTTGAATATTAGCGTCTACCAAAGTTTCATAAAATTCGATGAAGGTTTGACAAAGTAATTGATGTGTAACAAACGTTAACCAAAGAGTGAAGAAATTCCTTTTATCAGTAAAATTTGGGAAAATAAAAAATATATTTTCATCATTATAGTCTGTATATTCTTTTGATCATAAAAAGCTTCTGTCCAACTGCCGTGAAATTTCACGAAGGTTTGAAAAAAAACTTTAACCACATACTGTTGATTCAGACTTTGACAGAAAATGAACATATATATATATTCATTCGATTGAAAAGTAAATTGCGTCACTTAATCTGCAATTACAAGCTATTGAAGAAAGAATGACAAGGCTGATGTGCTTTTACCAGTTCTTTTTATTCTATTTAGATTAAAATATTTGTTTACCAAAATTCAAGTGCACGCCCGGGTGTTTTGAACAGATATATCATGTTATGGAGGAATATTTGCGAAAAATACCAGTCAAGGGACGGTGAAATTTCCCAAGCCGCTAGGCGAGGGAAATTTGGTCCCAAGACTGGTATTTTTCGCAAATACCCTTCCATAACATGATATATCTGTTTAATTACACCGAATAGATTTTGATTGAAATTGTCTGTACATGTGAAGGGAAATCCTAGTACCGCGGGAATTATACATGTACTTATATGCGTTAGTGCTGTCTTTTTGTAACGTCATGGTATCTATATGTGTAAACGTCATTGTTATTCCATCATTAAATCGTTCATTTGTATAGACATGTCTTTCCCCTCTTTATATGTATATTTCTGACAGTTTTCGGTTTAACTCAATCAATAGTGCTTAACCATGTTGTCGGGATAAAGTGAGAAAGGTTCCGAATAATTTTGGCGGGAACAGGTTCGCGAGGGTAAAAAAGGAATATCCAAAATGGCAAATACCACGGCAGAGGTGGGAATTTGAGGCAAATTCACCGGCAGTGGTGAAAAAACAGGCAAATTCGTTTGAAATGAGGAAAAATTATTACAATATGCGAAAAATACACTGGCTAACAACCAATCAAAATCCGGCATTCTTATATAGGGTGTAATTATGACGTAAACGTAGCTACGTGCCTTTTCGAACGTGTGAAAAGGGGTGCGGTGTTGGATTTCGCTCTCTTTTAACATATAGTGAAAAACTGTCGACCTTATAACATGGTAAACGTATTTTTGCTGTCACTGAGTATATTACTTACAATGAGGGTCTGGATGGGTTTCCATAATAGAGAATAATTGGCCACTGTGACTTTGAGATGAAAAACAACAATAAAAGCGCTGTTCCTTTGCTTTTTGTGTGTATTTTGCTGTGCATATACTGATTGTATGTCATGGACGGATACCCCACATCCTTTGTTTTTCTACAATACTGAAGAAAAGTGAGAAAAAAAAAGAATATGAAAAATAAGCCAACAAAATAAAGAATAGAGAATACTGGGGTTCTAACATATAAAGAAGAGAGAATAATAGGTAAAATTTAAAAAGAATAAAGAAAAATGGTTAAGAAATTAAAGTATACGTTTACCATGTTACCTGGTCGACCGGATTTTACTGTATGGGACTCTAGGAGCAAAAAAAAAAAAAACACTTTGTATATTACATGTTAAAATATGAAGTTTAAGAGATTTTTCATAAAATAAAAAAACGAAAAACAGCTTAGACGAATGGTTATACATTCATTGAAGTTAGTTCAAGATAGCCTTTAAATCGGAAAAAAAAATATTCATATTTTATGTCTTTAATGTTAATTTGTTCAATTCATGGATATTCGGAAAAAAAGTTAAATTCCAACCTCTTTCTATTTTTCAAATTGTACTAGTCTGAGAGGTCAAAAGTGTTCGGACACTTCCACATCAAATTATGATATACACATGTTTTCATATGAAAAAATTTCAAAAAGTTATTTCAAGTCCGATTTTAATGAAATGTTTTCAGTTTGCCCGTTTTTATGATTTCTAGTATCAATATTTTTATGACGTGTCATTACTGATAAATCATTATTTAAATACAAATATTGAAATGTGTTCCCTACACATGCTTTATATAAAAATATAGAGATGTGATATGATTGCCATTGATACAACTATCCACCAGAGTTCATATACCTATTTTCGAGCAGAAATTACGATTTCTCTTTAGTCAGTGATTTCTCCGACATTTCAAACTATTTCAGAAAAAAAATACAGATATTTCTGTATTTAATGGTAAACATTGCCATTAAAATCGGACTTGAAAGAAGTTTTGAACATTTTTTTTAATGTGTATTTATATATGTAAGGCATTATGATACTATAGCGTTATCTATGTTCAGTAAATTATACCTTCATAATATTAACCAAGAACATTTAAACTAAACCAGTCGTAACCCCCATAGTCGGTGGAACAAAAAGTTCGATAATCTAATGATATTTGATTTAATGCCTGCATTTTTTTTTTATTTCAAAGTGTCTTACGTTAACTATTATTATATAAATAACAGAAATCATAAAGGATGGATGACCTAAGCGACCCTAAACCTTCGGTAGACACAGTGGAGGATAATGACAGTGTAAGTGTATATATATATTCATCATGTGACTTGTCTTGGGAAAACAGAAAGTAGAGTAAGGTGAAGCATCTGCTCTCGATTTTCATAGAGCAGCTTAACAAACCATCAACTATTTTGCATTGAGGATGTATTCTTCTGACGTTTCAGTCTCGTTGAAAATCTCGTTCCGGAATTATTTCCAAAACATGTGATACAAGTGGAAAATATCAATGAATTTTAAAAATATTATAATCAAACTTAACTCTGTGAAAAAATTGTGTATTTACAATAAATAGTTTTTGAGTAATAAAATTTTCAAATTTTATAACCAATCAAGTCAGTCTCATTAGCCAAAATGTTGAGAAAATGGGTGAGGGGTAAAAGAAATGATTTTACCAGATACATGTACATCCCATATCAATTTTTTCTTTTTAAATTTCTTAGATATGTATTTTTTCAATCATTTATAACAAAGAAGTTGAAATAATATGCTTTTTGTTCTAAAAAAAGAGAAAAATCCCAAATTTACAAAATTGACAACATGGTAAATTTGACACGAAAAAGCAACAAAATTTTATAAAACTTTCTTATATTAACACCTACCCATAGTTTTTTTAAGTTAAATTTATTCAGATTGGTCTTCATCTTTAGTGAAAGTATGAAAAAAAGTTTAATTGTGAAACTGTGATTTTTTTTCATGATAATAGCCCAAAAATGGGAAAAAATTGATGAAAAATGGAAAAATCATCAAAATTGGGTACTTTCAAATGGCTGTAGCAAAAATAGAAGTACACCACCATATGATTTTTTCTTCACCAATTATTTTTTTACCCTTAAATCAGGATAAGAAAAAAAGTTTAATTCTAGAAATGTTTGGCTCATCAGAGGTGTACATCCTTAATGGGACCAATCGATTACATTCTACTTTTACATATAAAAAGTAAAATCACAAAAAATTCATTGAAAAAAATAAAACTTGAAATATTCATGAATGATCTTAAAGGGGCATATCAACTATTAATATATATATATTTCCTGTTTGGCTGAGTGGTCTAGAAATAATGCAACAGTGTTTCCACGATGTCAAAAAGCATTCGTTCAAATGCTGCCGAGGGAAGATATAAGAAATCATGATAGGAAACACAAGCCATGTATTAATCTATCATGCACCCATAAACAAATTTTCGACTCTAATTGAACATGTTATATGAAAAATGATATGATTACAACGCTAACAACACGCTTCTCGGATTAATCTACATCAGATACGCTAGGGACCAAAAGTTTAAGAGAGCCAAAATATCAATCAACTTTTTGTTTAATTCCAATTCATTAACTATATTACGAGAACTAACAAGAGAAAAGAGTGAAATAAATGACAAAATTATCATAATTATTCATATTTCAGTTTGATCCTGAAGTACACAAGATGTCCTTTCACATTGGGAGTCCACCTTATTCTCATCATCATGAAATTACCGCAAGGAGATATGTTCGTACCCAGCATGAACTGGATGAGCATTATAGCAAACCAGCTCAACCAAAACCTACAGTAAGAACTCGTTTACGACGCTGGTTCTGTTGTCCTAAAGAGAAAGTGGAACAATATTTCAGTACACTGTTTCCAATTGTGAACGTCTTGAGAACCTACAATTTAAGTTACATTCTAAATGACATGGTTAGTGGAATAACAATAGGTTGCCTTAGTTTTCCACTCGGAATTGCTTTCGGTGTATTGGCCTCCTTAGCTCCTGAATATGGATTATATTCTTCATTTTCACCGGTGATACTTTATCTTCTATTTGGAACCTCTCGACACATTTCATTTGGAACGAACGGCATTATAAGTTTATTTACATCCGAATTAATACATAAACATTTGCCAGCTGCTGCAGGTGCAAATTCAACTAAACCAGAAGATGACATCGATTTAAAATCTTCCATAGCATCTGGATCTACATGTATAATCGGGCTGATTCTGCTATTGATGGGCCTACTTCGCCTTGGATTTATAGTCAACTACATATCATCGTCTTTTGTAAGTGGGTTCACCGCTGCTGGTGGTGTTCACATCGTAACAAGCATGTTACCGAATGCTTTAGGAATTACTATTCCGAGATTCACAGGAGCAGGACAACTTGTACTGACATACAAAGCCATTTTCGAAAAGGTACCGAAAATACACGTCGCTTCTCTGCTTTCTTCGCTTTTAACTGCCGCTATACTTCTTGCTTTTAAAGATGTTATCAATGTGAAGTTCAGACACAAACTTAAGACACCAGTTCCCATAGATTTTATTGTGGTCATTATAGCAACAATAATTTCGAATTTTGCCAACTTATCTGAGAGTTTCGGATTAAAAATAGTCGGCGATATCCCTGCCGGATTTCCTCCACCTAGAATGCCATATCTTTCTGTAGATTTGGTTTTAGATTGTTTTGTGGTTGCTATAATGATTTTTATGCTCTCTGTATCCATGTCTCGTCTTTGTGAAGCAGCTCATAACTACAGAGTTGATGACAACCAAGAACTTGTGGCATATGGATTATCAAACTTTGTTAGTTCTTTCTTTCTGTGTTTCCCGTCATGTGCAGGTCCAGCAAGAACTATTACTTTATGTTTAATGGGCCCAAAGTCAACTTTACACGGACTCATTTCTTCGTTTTTCATTCTAATCATTCTTTTATGGATTGGACCATTGTTCCGAATGCTTCCGATCTCTGTCTTGTCTACCATGGTCATCATAGCCGTTAAAAATCTTGTTACTCAAATGAAAGATTTGCCGGAAATGTGGAGATTGAATCGTTACGACTTTTTAATTGCAGTTGGGACCAACTTAAGCGGTTGCTTCATTGACTTTCCATATGCACTTTACGTCGGTGTTATTCTATGCATGTTCACAGTAGTATTGCAAAGTCAAATCCCGGAAGTGTATCTTCTGTCAAAGTTAACAACCGAGGACAGATTTTTGAATAGCAAACTCTATGACCACATTTTGACACATCCTAGAATTCAGATTTTTAAATTTGAATCATCACTTTATTTTGCCACGGCAGAGGCGTTTCGGAAAAAACTATTTGAATTAACAGATGGCAAGTTTAACCTCCACTCTAAATTCACCAAAAGTCAACAATCCTACGTAGTGGCTGCTCCATCTGATTCAAAGCACAATATGGAGCACATGAACAAAGAAAGCGTTGAATCTTTCACGAGACTGCCATGGGATGGACTGCACGACAAATCTCTACATAATAAGGATTACGTCATCATTGACTGCTCATCTATAAATTACATTGACATAAATGGTTTAAGGATCTTGATCGAGGTTATATGTGAATTAGAAAATGTTGGAGTCACTGTTGTGTTTGCCAGTTGTAACCAGTACGTAAGACGTTTCTTAAAAAAATCACAATTGGCTTCAAAAATATCGGAGGAACATATCTTTGCAGATATATGGGATGCTTTTAGCGCCTTAATAATGTGATGTTTCTACAATGATATTACAAAAAAAAATAAACTTGTTCTCTTTAAAAGTGAGTTGATACAGTTTTATTGCATTGTCATTATTTTTTTAATTTTGAGATATGTTATCGATCGAGATGAGAACTTTGAAACATCACCAAATAAAATATAGGTTACAATGCTTATTTTTTAGGAAAATGAGGTCCAAAAATTGGGGATTTTGTAATTTCGTTGAATTTTTGAAGACAACTGAAGATTTTCAAAAATTTTGTTTTTAGCAAAAATATTGCCAAATTAGTTTTTATTTTTCTAATTTTAAAATTACATGCCGGAAAGAAGAAACATTTGTTGACCTTTATTCAGCAGTTTTATAAGGTTCTTGTATTATCATTTTTCTTATTTTTATTCCTTTTTGAAAAGTATGTGTTATTGTGTTTGAAAATAGAGGCGGAAGATACCAAAGGGACATTCAAGCTCATAAGTAGAAGACAAACTGACAATTTCATGGCAAAACACTGAAAACAACAAAAAGACAAACAGCAGTCTTCAAAACACATAGAAAAAGACTGAGAAACACGAACCCCACCAGGTATCGTGTGCTCAAGAAGCGTTTGAAAAATATATTCCATAACGGGAATTTGTTCGGGGAATTGCAAATGCAATTGAGAAAGTCAATAAATAACTCCTGCTACATTTACAATTGGAAATTAAAAGTTCAATATCAAATTAAGAATAATTTTTCTTGAAACTATCGACTTTAAATTCGTCTCATATACATTAGAGCAAATTAATTACAGTATAAATGATTTAAAGCATGCATACAATCACTTTTCTTACAATCTATTGATAATATTGATTGATTGATTGATTGTTGGTTGCTACTTGTCCAGTGGCAAATATATTCACGTGCGGTGTTCAGGACGAGAACAAATCAACAATACATGTAATAGATAGGTCCTGTAATATGTGTCGACCGGGATGAAGGGCGGGAAGTTTGGACTGCCAATGGAAGATGAGGGTAAATTAGATAGGGTCAGAAATTAAGGCTTGAAACAGGCCAACTACGAACCGCTCAAAGAGTTTTTGCAAGGGTTCTGAACGTGCAAAGAGCGTAGAACTCTCTCTACACGAGGTATCAGATTTAACGTCCCCGTTCTGACCGGATGAGGATGCAAAATTATATCTCCTCACTTTCGTAAGGGTTTTACTGCCGGTCGGAAGTAGACCAAGAGTGACAATATTTGTTAGTCACCCTTGGGGTTCTATTGATAATAGGGAACGGCTTTAAATAAACTTCAAGGTATAGTGAGCATGCAATGTACATGTATACGACCAAATTCTAAAGAAAATAATCAAATAAATTTTAGTGGCAATGAAATATCATTTTAAAGATAATTCAAAGGACAGTTTGTTTTCCAGCAAAGGCAATTTAGAATTAAATTATTCATTTTTTGTTGTTGCGATATTTACTCATAAGAATTAGTTCTCCTTATTTGTTCCTCATTTTCCTTAAATTGTTTTACGTTGCGCGTGAGTGCTTTTTCCTATAAACTGCAGTATTATTCGTATTGTCTATGCATTGCTCCCGTGACATAAATTTTAGAATATTGCTCCAATGACTTTAATTTTAGAATAAAATCCGTCCAAAATTAATGTTAATGCCTTCAATGAAAAACTGCTTATACGTGTGTCTTAACGCGCTTTTCCTTTATTTATCTGGATATAATATGTCTAACAAAAGTTACATAACAGATGATAATAATGCCCATACATGGAAGGCAAAAACTGTCTTGTTATAAAAATAAAATTGAGAATGGAAATGGGGAACGTGTCAAAGAGACAACAACCCGACCATAGAGCAGACAACAGCCGAAGGCCACCAAAGGGTCTTCAATGCAGCGAGAAACTCCCGCACCCGGAGGCGTCCGTCATCTGGCCCCTAATCAAATATGTATACTAGTTCAGTGATAATTGACGTCATACTGAACTCCAAATTATACACAAGAAACTAAAATTAAAAATGATACAAGACTAACAAAGGCCAGAGGCTCCTGACTTGGGACAGGCGCTAAAATGCGGCGGGGTTAAACATGTTTTTTGAGATCTCAACCCTCCCCCTATACCTCTAGCCAATGTAGAAAAAACAAACATACAACAGTACGCACAGTAAAACTCAGTTTAAGAGAAGTCCGAGTCCGATGTATGCCCATTTTCATTATATGATGTGCATTTACCTTTATAAGATGTGCACTTGTCATTATATATATCATGTGCAAACATCTTTATATGGTGTCCAGTTGTCACTATATGATGTGCAATAATCTTATATAATGTGCAAACATCCTTATATGATGTGCAAATATACTTATACGATGTGCAAATAAACTTATATGATGTGCAAATATACTTATATGATGTGTAATTGTACTTATATGATGTGCAAATGTAATTATGATGTGCAAACGTTGCAATATTCACAAAAAATAAAATATATGTTCATAAAATTAAATAATTCATAACAAGAAAATATATATTAAAAAAATCAATATTTGTGTTCATAAAATAGAATATATATTCATAAAAACATAAATATATGTTCATAAAAAAAATATTTGTTCTTAAAAAATTATTAATGTTCATAAAAAAAAATAATTGTTCATAAAAACAAATAAAAACATAAAAAAGAAATATTTGTTCATTGAATTAAATAATTGTTCATAAAAGTTGAATACATATTCATAAAAACTTCAATATATATTCATAAACACAAAATTTTAATTAAAAAAAAAAATGTGTGTTCATAAAATAAAATATATGTTCTTAAAAATTTATAAATACTTTGCATCATAGGATACCTCGTTGCTTTTGTAACAGTGTATTTGATTGGTACGCTCTGAAACTCGACCGGACGGGACTCCGGACCCGTACTTTGGTCTGAAACCCGGATCCGGACTAGATGCCGGACCAGGACTGAGAAAATTATGGGGAGAAAGTGTTTAAATTTACTAGCATTAGGTTCTCCTTTTGTGTACCCTACTGAGGGTAAAGTAAGTTATTTTTTTAGAGCACTGATATTGGATGTATGTTAATATATATATAGATTTTTAATTTTATTTATCGTAAATTGAAGATTGTCAAGATTGTATTCTTTCTTTCTTTCTTTCTTTCTTTCTTTCTACAGGTATGAATCGCCGTTCTATATCGGCGCACTCCTACATAGTAAGATATCTAATGCGCTTTGTACAAATATACACCTGCAGCCTCTAAAAACTCATATTAACATATATATTTATACAAGTGGATTGTCTTATTTTAGAAAATATCAAATGCTTCTAGATATGCCTTCACTACGCTCTCACCCCTACCCTGCCATCTGTCTCATTCTACTGGTATACATATTGTAGAAGAACAACCGAGTGAGGTTTTCTAGCTCTATGTAGTGTTGTTTTGTCATATGGAATCCATAGTTAATGCTTTTGTGAGTACAGTCCATCACAATTTGTGTAGGCATGTCACAGTCAACAAGTTCTAATAGAGCCCATTCTTTAAGTTTTCCAGGTATGATTTTATTACTTGGAGGTGACTTTCATGTGTATGCTTATGTCTACTGCATGAAAGTGTGAAGTGTTCTAGATCTTCATCTGCTGCATTACACAATATACATATTGGGGATATATTCTTATTGTGTCTAGACCTAACTGTCTGTAGCATATATGTTTGTGTTACTAGTCTGCTCTTTGTTTCATCTGTTTTCATATTAGTTGGGTTGTTTCCTGTACACAGATATTATGCGGCATAACGGATGGGTTGTCCTGTATTTGAAGGTATTTCAATGTCTTTTTATCAGACATCAGACATTGGAAGGGTAATAACATCTGTAAAGGGACCAGTCATTTGTAACCTGAAAAGGGGAGACAGGAGGAAATTAAGAAGGGGGGTCTTGAATTTTTTTAGGAATTGAAAGGGGGTATCCAATTTTGTATACGACTGCAAAAAAATGCAGCCGTATAATGGTATGGCGATGTCGTCGTCGTCGTCGTCCGAAGACATTTGGTTTCCAGACAATGACTTGAGTATAAGTGTAAGGATCTCCTCTTTAAATTATACCACAAGGTTCCATACCACATAAGGGAGTTTGGGATTGATTTTGGTGGTTATTGTCCTAACTGTTTAGCAACTAGAAGCCAAAAAAGGCCAAACAACAAGCATTTTCTTGTTTCAGGACAATAACTTGTGTATAAGTGTATGGATCTCTATGAAATTAGGAATTAGTGGCCAAAAAATATACTCTTCTAATACTTTGTATGAATTGCTTATTTCTTGGCCAATTTAAATGGGTTTTAATTCAAAGTCTTGAATTCTTGGGGTTCTTTAATATTCTGAATCTAACCATTTATTTAGATTTTGAATTTTGGCCCAGTTTTTAAATTGGTCCATATTAAGGTCCAAAGGGTCCAAAATGAAACTTTGTTTGATTTCAACAAAAAAGGAATTATTTGGGTTCTTTCATATTCTGAGTTTAACCATGTATTTAGATTTTGAATTTTAGGCCCCGTTTTTAAATTGGTCCACATTGAGGTCCAAAGTGTCAAAAATTAAACTTCGTTTGCTTTCATAAAAATTTGAAATAATGCGGTTCTTTGATATGCCGAATCTAACCATGTATTTAGAGTTTTGATTTTGGGCTCGGTTTTCAAATTGGTCCACGTCAAGGTCCAAAGGGTCCACAATTAAAACTTTTGTTTGATTTAAAAAAAATGAATTCTTTGGATTCTTTGATATGCTGTTCAAATCTAACCATGTATTTAGATTATTGTTTTTGGGCTCGGTTTTCCAACTGGTCTACATTAAGGTCCAAAGGGTCCAAAATAAAACTTTGTTTGATTTCATCAAAAATTGAATACTTGGGGTTCTTTGATATGCTGAATCAAACAACATATTTAGATTTTGGATATTGGACCATAATAGGTTAATTTCAATTTTTAAGATCTTAGAGGACATTCATTCTGTGTCAGAAACCTATTTTATGTCCATATTATGTCCCCAACTGTTCATGGTTCGACCT